ACAGTAAACCAGCGTAAAATATCAGCTTAACGCTGCTGTGTTCCGTATGGTGAGTGTAGAGAACCGGAGACCCTTTTTACTGGCAAAGAGGCATTCCATCTTAGTCCTCACGGGTGACAACGCATCTGCATCTTGAGTCTTTATTGAGGATAGATGTAGATGTCTATGGGTCACAGTAACCACTTACCATCAGGTGGACTGTGTGCTCGTTTGTCACCCGATCCTATAAAAAGAAAATACGTTGCTACAGGTACGAAACCTCTCAGTAATGAGAGGCGGCCTGTGCGCAGCCGTGGTACATATATATAGGCTGTAACATTAAGACAAAATAAAATAGGTAAGAGATCTCATCAGGAGTAATGTTCTCTTTATTCGTAACTAATTAATTGTTATGCCTTTTTATCTAAGTCACGGTAGTCAAAGGTGAACTATTCTTTACTCGAGTGAAATAAAATTAACAACTGAACGTTTCATACACGATACAATTCACAAACTAAAGTAAAAATAACACTACGTGGTAGAGCCATGCTGTAGCTATATTGTGGTTGCAGTACGAATGGGTCGGCTCGACCGGGGTAGGACCACGCTCTCACAGAATACCAACGTAAAATAGCGGTTCAATGCTGCTGTGTTACGTATTGTGAGTGTAAAAGTGTACGTACCCTTTTTACTGGAAAAGAGGCATTCCATCTCAGTCCTCAGGGTTGGCGGCACATATGTATTTTGATTCTTAATTGAGGATAAATGTATGTCTATATATGTATGTAGATGTCTATCGGCCACAGCATCCACTTACCATCAGGTGGACTGTGTGCTTATTTGTCACCCATATTCTATAAAAAGGAACATTCTATATATACGTCCAATTGCAAAGGTAAAAGAGTAAAAGGGGATAATTTCGCAATTGAACGTATATAGGTATGTGGATATACGTATATTTATTTTTGGGAGACTGTCTAGTATGTGTTGGCAGTCTTAATATACCTCTGAATAATTTACAATTTCTAAGACACATCGGTTTTCTACAGCGCCAAAATAAATACGTTACGGCAATTGAAATTGCAAGTAACAATTTCATGAAGCTCGTGGAGATCGAACTTGGTACATCGCGTTCTATGAAATTTTAAGGCGAGAAGACTTCACTTAGTAAGAGTCGATTATGAGAAATTCTAGAAACATCTAACGGCTTCCGAGAGATGGCGTCATAATCGTACCGCTTACACCAGACGTAGAATACTCGAACCAGTAACGCAGAACATCTTTAGTTATAGATATGAGAAGTCTGGTACTGTGGTTTCTAATCGGTTTGCTTACCGTACCGATTAGAGTTGAGAAATTAAAACGAGAGAGGCCTATGTCCAGCGATGGACTTTTATGAGCTGATGAAGAAGATAAAGAGCCAAGAGAATTAGAAAAAAATTACACGTTTGTAAAAAAACACTTATAAATATAACAAAGAAAACCCACCGCTTTGTGCAGGCGACGCAAAAGAATTAGAGGTTTTAAAGAACTATAATTGAGTTCAACGTTGAACGAAGTGAACATACAGACAGTGGAATTAATATTTCAAAACTTTAGCAGTTGACACTGAGTTCACGGAGAGATTCATAGCGGACGTTTTCTGGCGAACAAATTAAGTTTAATGGACGATCTTAAAAATTCTTTCGCTTAAGTATTGCTTTAGAAATGGCAAAAATGAGACCGTCGTTTTAAATATTTCTTATTCTAAAATTAAAAGTTAAAGTTAAAGTTACAGCCTATATATACGTCCCACTGCTGGGCACAGGCCTCCCGTTATTTCGAGAGGTTTTTAAGGCAAGAAAAAGTCCGCCACGCTGCCCCAATGCGTGTTGGCGAAATTCACGTCTTCGAAATTTTTTTGTTATTTCTCAGACATGCAGCTTTCCTCACATTGTTTTCGAGTATGTGGTAAATAAGCACTTCAAATTGAAATTAACAATTTCATTGGTGCCGGCGGGGATCGAACCCGGGTTGCTCGCGTACTGTAAAATATACAGCGAGCGCTAGCCATCTGAGCTACCACGGCATTCTAAAATTATATAATATAAAGAGACCCCTTCAGGTTTAGGCATATTTGAGTATTTTGGGGTATTGGTGCAAAATAGGATTTAGGTAAACTCCCTTGGTGGCGCAATTTGGTAGGTCATTAGTAGAAAGAATATAAGAAAGAAAAGGAAGGACAGTGTATTAATAGCTTCTTATATTAAGTGTAATTGTGTCCCTAATAAATATGTCAACGTCATTACTGATACGGACAATGAAGGTTGATAGTACCACAGAGATAGTAACAAATAATAATATAAATCAGTAGAAGAGTTACCCGGAAGGGGTTAGAAATACTTCTGGGGAAGTTATGGAGGTTACTCAAATTCGACTGCGTGATACTTTATAGTTGCAGACGATATAGCCATCTCCACTCACAGTCGAGCTGTGTCACTAAAGATAATTTTAGCATGAAAACCCCAGGTATTCGTTGGCTAGTGCTGAATGTAGAAGTGTTCGTCGCTTTGTGCCAATCTGGGTAGTATGACGTAGAATTCAGGTGACGTCGAATACAACAAACAACCTTATAGCAACAATGTTGCTAATGTGACGGAAAAAACTGAGTTTTCACTTGATAAAGAAATGCTGGTTCAATGCAAATGTTAAATTAACAAAAGCAATATAAGAACAGTTTTAGCGTATTTCGAGAATTACGGCCCGTTACCCTAAGAATGTATATATCAATCAAGTTGCTAAAACTGAAAGATGTTGAGGTGGATGTGTGACGTCATCAGGCTAGTTAAAATACGCAACGAGTTCATTCGTCGACGACGTACGATGCGGGATATTAGGCTGAGATGGTATGAACACATATAATGTAGGCTACCTCGATACGGAGGGAACTTATAAAGCTATAACTTAAGATAAAGGCAAGAAAGGCTGACACCACAACTAACTGAGTAAAAAGTAAGTGAGAGAGGAAAAAGGAAGAGAGAGAATCTTTCACCCCTTTCGTATTATTTTTCGTTCATAATTGCAATAGATAGAATAATATTTACTATAATCAATAAATGTGATACTTCCTTCAACAAAGCTAACTTTTTTAACTCGGGAAATTTTCAGCAGCACTTTATATAAAAAACGCTAAGGAAATATTCCTTTTCGTTATCCGTCAAGTCTTCCTGTAAGTGGAATTTCTAATAAACGGTATCACGCAGAGGCACGCGGAGGCTTATCGCAAAATTACAAAAGATATATTTACCTTCACCGCATAAAGAAATAATTTACGCAACAAATCCTATATTTTTGTTCAAAGTCATAAGCGATAAGCGATTTCAAAAATAATTTTGTTGTTTGCTTGTTAAGAAAAATGTGATGTAGACAACATTGAAATAAAATGTGTACTCCTATCCATCAATAAGACGATCAGTTTGACGTCAGTCTGACCAGACTGATGGACTGAACTGAGGGGGCAAACACACCGTGTAACTTACGTCTGAGTAAATTATACTAAGTGTGTTGTTGTAAATGAATGTTTTTTTTATAGGATAAGGGTGACAATCGAGCACACAGCCCACCTGAAGGTTAGTGGTTGCTGTGGCCCATAGACCGCTACATCTATCTTCGATTACGAATCAAAATGCAGATGAGTTTTCAGCCGTGAGGACTAAGATGGAAAGCCTCGTTTCCAGTAAAAAGGGTCTCCGGTTCTCCGGTAAACAATCAATTACAAATTCTACATATTTGAATTTCAAAACGGGTTTCACTGAAATCGCATTTCGATGGTTATTTTAAAATAATTAATATAAATTTAAATAGTTAATTAATCAATCATTTTTAATTTAATTTAATTTAATTTTTTGGTCCCTTAATACTAAAATTTTATACCACACGTCAAAGATGCCCCTGGAAAAAATTACCGAGTTACCGACGACAGCGCGTTAGGTGAGATGTGATAGAGTGCCATGACTGGCGTCTTCCACCCCACTAGGTAAAGTAAAACAGGAAAAGAATTGATGTACGGCCAAGTGCGAGCGGGTATAAAGCAATATGATTTTTACCATAATTATTTTCAGTAAGTACATTTAATTCATTCATTCATTATGGTTTTTGAAAGAGAAGAAAGTAAAACGATTTGTGAAATAAGAATAGAAGGGGAGTTGGTAGAGCAAGTAGATGAGTTTGTATATTTGGGATGTGTGTTTAGCAGGGATGGTAGATATGATAAGGATATAGAACGACGAGTGAATGCAGGAAATAGAGTGAATGGAGCTCTACACTCTATTGTGAAAGGTCAGAATGTGTCCAAAAAGGCACGTATGGCAATTCACAATGCGGTGTTAGTACCTACTTTAATGTATGGTAGTGAAAGTTGGGTGTGGCAGAAGAAGCACGAGAGTAGTATAAATGCTGTAGGAATGCGGTCATTAAGGAGTATGTTAGTGATGAATCTGAATGACAGAGTGAGAAATTGTTTAATAAGAGAAGAGTGTGGTTTGCAAGATGACGTTGTGACCAGGATTAACCCTTTGACGACTACGGGGACAAATGTGTCCCTAGCCAATAATTATGAAAATATTCATAATTAAGAAGCCAATGCCCATTCCTTTATTTTTTATTAGTTCTTGAACGCATCTTTAATAATTTTTTTCGCCAACAACACTACGTAGGTAATAAGATATACTGTCTATGGTAATTGGAAATTGACAGTTCGCTTGGCGCGTTTTCGGTAAATTTTTAAAAAGTTTTTCGGGACGACAAAGTGTTTTATATTGTTTTTTATTGTGCTATTATTATTGCCTGGTAAGTAAATTGATATAATATATATTCATCAAACCATTATATAAGTTGTTTACAGTGATACGACTTCATAAACATAAAGGGACACCAGCGTCCCAGTGGTCCATAAGAGACATTATTTATGAGAAATTATTATCTTATTCTACTGATGATTTTTGTCAATTACCCTCATTTTTTTATAGATATTGTTACAGATTATGTTTCGTAAAGGACGTGGCGTTTTTGAACTCAAGAATGATGAAGTCCTACAGATTTTGATGGGTGACAATAGTGACGAAGAAGATCAAAGAATTTTGACGCAGGATGATGATCAAGGGGTCTCTGACGTTGAAATTGAAAATACTCCAGTTCCACTTCAGGAATCAGTAAGTCTGCCACCTGAACCAACAACGTCTACAGCTGTTTTACCCGTCACCGGAGCACACAGTAATCAAGAACCACTTTTCAAGTGGAACCAGAGAACATACGTGCCAAATACTTTTCGTGATGTGGAATATGAGTTCGGAAAGGTACAAATTTGTCAAGAAGTTGATGCTGATGTATTGACTCCCTTTGACATATTTTGTTCAACTACAAATTTTTATATTTTAGTTCAAAATATAGTACAGAAGTCAGTACGGTACGCTCATCAAAATGGCCGGGCATTTACCGTAGATGTAAAAGAAATGAGAGCATTTCTTGGTATGAATTTAGTTATGGGCTATCACATTTTGCCATCATTAAGAGATTACTGGTCTACAGAACCAGATATGGCAGTACCTTTCATATCAAATGTTATGCCAAGGACTCGATTTGAAGAGATACGCAGAAATCTTCACTTCTGCAATAACGAAGAAGTGGGAGACACAAATAGTCCGGGTTATGACAGAGCGTATAAAATTCGCCCCATAATCGAACATTTCAACAATTCATTTCAAAATGCTCTCAATAATACAAAAAAGCAATCTATCGATGAACATATGATAAAATTCAAAGGGCATAATGCAATGAAGCAATACATAAAAAATAAGCCAGTCAAGTGGGGCTTCAAATTATGGTGTAGATGTGATGCTGCAACAGGATACCTGTTTGAATTTGACTTATATACAGGCAAGCGGACTTCTGGGACTGAGTACGGGTTAGGTGAATCTGTAGTACTTCAGCTTACGAAAAAGTTGGACGGATTAGGATGTGAAATTTATGTTGATAATTTTTTCAATTCACCTATGTTGCAGTATACATTGATTTATCAGAATACCAAGGCATGTGGAACCGTTCGAACAAACCGGAAACATCTTCCAAAAACTGCACCAGTTGACAAAAAAATGAATCGAGGAGACATATACACCACAAGTTTTCAGGGCATTTCATACGTGAAGTGGATGGACAATAAAGCAGTGCACTTGTTGACCAACTTTCTGTCACCTTTAGAAACAGACACCGTAAAACGACGCAAAGCTGGATCAGCGGAAAAAATTGATGTGAAATGCCCAAAAATTGTATCACACTATAACAAAAACATGGGAGGAGTAGATCTCATGGATCAACGTAAAGTGTGCTATGAAATCGATCGCAGATCGAAAATAAAATACTACCTGCGACTATTTTTTGATCTCTTAGATATTTCAGTGAATAACGCACATACTGTCTACGCAAAGCTACACAATGAAAAACAGTTGGAAGGAGGTCTGTTGTCTAGTTTGAAGTTCAGACAAGTCGTTGCTCGAAGTTTGATAAACGGTTTCTCTGTCAGGCAGCTAGACGTTCCCACTTCAAAATCAAATTCAGTACGCAGATCTGTAAAACGACAGTTACCCACACACCCCATGGAAAAATCAAAAACCAGGAAGAGATGTGTCAACTGTGCCAAGTGCAGGATAGAAAACCGAATAAACAATACTTGTGTTTTATGTAAAGTTCACCTCTGCTACACTAATGAAAGGAACTGTTTCGCTGAGTACCACAACTAATTACTCTAAATTGTATATTTTTCATAAATAGATAAATTTGCTTTTATAAATGTGCGGTTTTCAATATACGATACCTCAAATACCGATAAAATCTCGAAAACGTGAAGAATAAGTTGTATAGGCAAAAAGTATCGGCTATTGGCCACAGGGACAGGTTTGTCCCAAAAATTTCTAAAAAAACTATAATTATTTTTGGTATTTTAATAAAAAAAATCTTTATTATATGCATAAATAACTGTTATATAAAGCTGTTAAGATTACATACCCTCCCATACTCTTATGGTCCTGAAAGGGTTAAGAAAGGAATGCTTCGGTGGTTTGGCCATGTAGAAAGAATGAATGAGGAAAGAGTGACAAAGCAAATTTATGTTGCAGAGGTGAACGGCATAGTTGGGAAGGGTCGCCCTAGGCGAAAGTTTATCGACCAAATTGGCGATATATTAAAAATGGGCCAAAAATTACCTTTAACCGACGAGCGTGTATGCGTAGGTATATGGATGAGGAGGAAGCGAGAGAGGTACGTCAGGATCGTGCCAAATGGAAGTCCATAATCTCTGCCTACCCCTCTGGGTGACAGGCGTGAGTGTTTATGTATTTATGTATGTATTCATTAAAGCTTATCTAAAGTCCACTAGTGAACATAAACCTCCCCCATATATGCCTCATAGGGGGCATATTTGTCATAGTTGCCACGCTTGGCGGGCGAGTTAGTAATCGTAGTGTTTATTTTTTAGTTTAGTTTGTATTTTTTTATTCTTTATATCTTATTGTTTCACCTAAATTCTTTCGACTGCCTTTTCTTAACTTCCTCGATAAGCTACGCAACCCTCGTCCACACACTCTCAAACTTTACAACGTTGTTAACGAGAGACTTGTGGACGATAAATCGGACACCTCCTTGGGACAGACGGTCGCCCTCCCACCGGGGCAAGAATAAGTTGTCGGATTCGAGGATTACCATATCCTCCCCCACTCTTCGGACCTCAGATAATTCTATAATATTCCAGCTCAACTTGTCTATCTCTTCTTTCAGCATCAGGATCTTCTCGTCAGTCCTCAGGATGCGTGCGTTATATGTTGCCAGGTCGAGTCGTCTTAGGTGGCAACCGAACCTCCACCGAAGATTCTTAGTATCCCCTGACCCGCCGTTACAATGGTCGCCACCGTAGCCAGGAATAGCGAGGCCGCCGGGGACTGGGGGCTGTCACTTCGTAACTTTCATGGGAGGTATATTGCCATAGTTGCCACGCTTGGCGAGCGGGTTGGCAACCGCAGTTTTTTATTATTGTTTTGCTGTTATCAGAAAAATGATGCTGCCCATCTTCTGCCTCAGTTTTCCTCTGTCGCCTAGTACGACATACACGGGAAGATATGGGGTAGTGGGTATTCTTACCTGCCACTACACGGGTCACTTCTGTAGGGTTGATACGTCTTAATCGTCATATTTATTGATGGTTAGAAATGTAGCCTTTCTTAGTTAGAATCATTCTCGAACGCGTGTACCAATCTCACTTAAGTTTTACCTAATCAGATGAATGTTATAGAAACGCATAGAAAACAAACAAACATTCATTACACTAGTACTAGTAGTAGTTGTTCCCCGCGACTTCGCCCACCTGGAGTTAGTTTTCGCGGAACTCTAAAATGAAAGCAGCCCAAGTTACTCCTTATAATATCAGCTATCTGCCAGTGTTTATAAATATTGACAAATATTGACGTTAATATTTATACGATACTAACGTCACTAAGACTTAAACTTTATGGTATGTTATTAAAGTTCAATTTGAGACTTTTAAGTATTATTACGAATCTTTTGTATGGGAATATAGAAAAGTGTTGCTTTTAGACTTTTCCAGGTATTTTTTTAAAATTTTTCACTCCGTAAGAACCATCTTCGTACTTGAAGGAATATTTATTATAAAAAAAGAATTAGAGAAATCGGTTCAGCTGCTCTCGAGATTTGCGCTTAGTAACACATTCAGCGATTCATTTTTATATTATAGAAGATTATTCAAATACAAGATTACTGCCTGTCAAATGTCATGCTGATCATAGGCCTCCCGTTAGAATACCTCATAGGAAGAAAATTTACCATAGTTGGCCACTTTTGGCACGTTTTCGAACCGCACTTTATTTTTTACTTTTTAGTTGTTATCAGGAAGACGCTGCCGCCATCTCCTCGTTTGTTTTCCTCTGCCGCCTCTTACGACACACACGTGACGATATGGGGTAGTGTATATATTTCCACGACCACTAAACTGTCAGATATACAAACAAATATTCATTTCTTGTCATGAACCTTCACGGGAGCGCATACAACTGTTCACTAAAGTTAATAGCTAATCTTAACAGTCCGCCAGCATTCATCCATACCTTAATACCTACGATTGTGTTATCAAGTCATTACAAGGAACAGCATATTACAATCATTTGTCAAATGGCTACAAAGAAATATTCTAAAGTTGTTATTGTGTTCGAAATTGGCCAAAAGACTAGCCTTGTCATGCTTAATATAGTGGGTAGAATACATTTTCACAAAAAAATACTTTATTAAAATATCAGGAACAACCACAAGCTAGTAATACCAGTTACTCGACTCTGAAGTGCCAGTAATTCCTTCAAAAGTCCAGAAAACATGCAGAACCTATCTATCTAAAAGTTTTAGATATCTATCTAAAAGTCTAAAAATTTTATGAAACACAAGTGGTAAAATTAAAAATTTTGTACAACCGATTTCAATATTAAAAAACCGGCCAAGTGTGAGTTAGACTCGCGCACCGAGGGTTCCGAACAAATCCGTAAGGATATAAGTTTAAAATCTTTTCGCAATTTTCCCTTTATCTGTGCTATAATACGTTGCTTCGTACTAAATTTTAAGATTCTGAGTTCACGGGAGGTACCCTGTAGGTTTTGATTCTCTTACGAATGTCGAAAATTTGCGGCATAAACGGCTGTATCTTTTGATTGCGTTAGCTTAGAAGTTTGATGATTTCACAGCTCCAAGGGACAGTAGACTTGAGTATTTGATATAAATTTCAGCTTGATACCTCTACGGGTTCCTGAGAAAAAGGATCTTGACAGACAGACAGACGGACAACAATGTAATCCTATAAGGGTTTCGTTTTTTTTCTTTTGAGGTACGGAACCCTAATAAAATGAGAACATCATCAATGTAGTCGCACTCAATGAAATACGCATTATTAAGGATAACTCAAAACTACTGGTCAGATCTTGATCAAATTTACATGGGTGACCCCATGCAATAGAACAGAAGCACCAACTTTCAAATAAATAACCTGTGGAGTGCGAGTCGGACTCGCATATGAATGGTTTATAAAACACGTTTCAACTGTCTTCCTATTAGGTCTAACAGTGGTAGAGCCACGCGGCAGCTTTTGCTGTCGCACGGATGGGCCGGCTCAAACCGGGGTGGTACCACGACCTCACAGAATACCAGCGTGAAGTAGAGGCTTACTTCTGCGTTTCGCTTGGTGAGTGCAGGTGGCCGGAGGCCCTTTTTACTGGAAATGAGGCATTCCATCTTAGTCCTCACGGGTGACAACGCATCTGCATTTTGATTCGCAAACGAGGATAGTTGTAGATGTCTATGGGCCACAGCAACCACTTACCATCAGGTGAACTGTGTGCTCGTTTGTCAACCTTATCCTATAAAAAAGAAAAAAAATTACGGATCATGAGATACAGCCCGCTGACAGACAGACGGATGGACGGACGGACAGCGAAGGCTTAGTAATAGGGTACCGCTACCGCTACGGTAACCCCTAGGGTACGGAACGCTAAAAAAAGAATCATCAAAATCGGATTACCTAGAAAAAAGTTTTGAGGTAACACACATAAATAAAAATACAGTCGAATTGAGTACCTCCTCCTTCTTTGAATTCGGTTAAAAATTGCTCAATAACTGCTATTATATTACTTAAGTATTTGATGAAGCCCTAGGAATGAGGTGATCGCTACCATGGTAGAACCGTACTGCATCTATATTATGATTGTAGCACGAATGGGTCGGTTCGATTGGGGAAGGACCACGCCAAGGGCACGCAAATTGCAGCGTAATTCTGACGTGTTTCATATGGTGATATACTACAAAATGACCTACATTTTGTCGTCAACAAAGTTAGCGCATAAAATTTAATTGTCACCATCATCGTCACATTGAATCTTTTCTACGAAGTGGTGATTACTTCATAACTGTTCTCTGAATCAATTGCGAAAGTTATTTATGAGTTGTCAACATGATGGTTACGTCTTACACCAAAAATTTCAATAATCCTATTATATTATTCACTTGTAGATCTTTCCCTCGCTTGTACGTCTATTTCGAGAGAGTCTTTCTTCATGGAAAACGAGTGTACATATACGACTTCTAATACATTTCAAAATATGAGAGGAAAATAAATTTCTGGTGAGATTTATTTTTCAATTGAATATAAATAACAACTATGGAAAAATAATTTAACACCCATTACCATCCGGGTTCGATCCCCGTTGGCACCAATGATGTTGTTAATTGCAATTTTAAGTGCTGATTTAACACGTGCTCGGTGGTGAAGGAAAACATTTTTTTATAGCATAAGGGTGACAAATGAGCACACAGTCCACCTTATGGTGATTGCTGTGGCCCATAAACATCTACATCTATCTTCGATTACGAATCAAAATGCAGATGCTTTTTCACCCATGAGAAGATGGAATGCCTCATTTCCAGTAAAAAGGGTCTCCGGTTCGCTACACTCACCAAACGAAACCCAGCAGCCTTAAGCTGCTATTTCACGCTGGTATTCTGTGAGAGCGTGGTACTTCCCCCGTCGAGCCGACCCATTCGTGCTACAACTATACTATTAATAGCTGCAGCATGGCTCTACCACGTTAATATCGTGAGGAAATCTGCATGTCAGAAAAAACATATTTTTCGAAGACATGTGAAGTCCGCTAACACGCATTGGGGCTGCGCGCGGATATTTCCTTGCCTAAAACCC